CATGAAAAGCTGACATATGATCAAACTCTGAGTATAAAAAATTGGAAAGTAAAGTTGACAAAAAATACATTTTAGATCCCAGGTATACCTATTTCACATTATACCTGTAGAGATAGTTTTAAGAAAAGTGTGTTTTAAAAAAAACCCTGTTTCTTGATCATCTGTAACTTTTCCGTGTCAAATTGTCTTGTCACGACTGAGTGAGCTTGTATTCCTGCAGGGAATGACAGTGGGTCAGGACCATGCATGCGTGAACACAGGCATGAACAAGACAAGGATGCATGGAAACATCTTTTAAAATGTATTTATTGATCGACAGAGCAGAGCTTCCAAAGACAGACTAACAGAAGAATGATGCAAAGAGACATTCGGTGGAAAAATGGTCTAAAAAGAATTGACATTTTTTTAAATGGGTGTCATCAGAGCGCCTCCCCAAACATTGTAACATGACTGGACAGGTCAATTGACCATTCGCTGAGCCCTGTCCCCCCTAGCTGCAGTGCCTGTCAAGCTTGCAGTTTATAAAGATAACAGAGGCATTTACCATTCAAAATTCATAGTAACTTCTGAAGCAATGGGTTTTTTGATTTCAGACAGAAGTAACAAAAGCTGGCTTCCATTTTTTTAACTGGTGACTGTCCACTATGTTGGCTGAAAAGACAACTGTCGCTAGCAGATTTGATCAACTAGCTTGCTAATTGAGCTAATGTTAGCTCCATGAAAGGGTTAGGGTTGAAAAAGTTGTTGATAATGTTCCAGCTGACTATAACCCGGTCAAAGGACCTTAAGTAGTTTTAGAAGGAAAAAAAATAAGATAAGACTACTTTCATTTTAACACAACTCTGTTTAGCTGCTTAGCTTACATTCTAGGACAAAACAGAGGTTAGATTTATGATTTATTGTTCTTATTTTGTCAGAGCAATATAGTGAGTGTTTCTTGTTAAACAAAAAGAATCTTACTCTTTAAAAAAGGTCTCTTACTGTAGGGATCCTTTCACCCCTTGTTGCTCCAGAGGCGTGTGACCTCTCACATATTTAGCAATTGTAAGTCGCTTTAGATAAAAGCGTCAGCTAAATGAATGTACCTTGACCCTGACTTAGTCACAAAGACGTAAAAACATGTGTAAATTAGGTCCAAGTTTAAAAATAACAAAGATATCCTTTAGGTGTAAACTTCCCCCAATCCACTAATGAGCTGAACAGAGTTGCTAATGTTAGCCTAAACTTTGGATCCAGGACTAGCTTTCACCAAGAGGAAATACAGTCCATGTACACAGAGATTCTTTTTTTCCATTACCCAAAAAAAGAATGTATCACACTCCTTTTTAGTTAATGATCTGCTACTTGCCCTTGTTCAATTACTACTTCAGGAAGTAAGCTATTTGGCCGATTGGTCGATTGTAGCTTAGACACAAACACTATTCCTTCCATTGCTGAGACTTTTGCTTGATTTTGGTTTTGGAAAGGCAAAAAAAAAAAGACCCAACCAACCATCCTCTTTAAGTATAGAGTCTCGCTCTTAGTATGGCCACATGCACACGTACACCGCCTCGGTGTGTGGAGAAATCCAAAGCTTGACAGACCTGGGGTTTAGCGAACGGTCAATTTTGACAATGAGTGAGCTGAAAAGGAGGTGCTGAGATGTCACACACATACAGTACGCATATTAAATGTCATCAAACTAATGTAATGATCCAACAAACAGAAAAGAGGAGAACAAGCAATGTTACAATGTTATTTCTGAATACGGATGATCTACTGGCCTCCCTGCTGCAAAAGACATTACAAGTAAATAACCACTGACCTCTGTGTGTGCCTTCTTTACCTTTTTTGTCTGGGCCAAGGCAACAGCTTGATCCCTACTGACCTTCAACAAGCTCCTTTCAGCTGCTTTACTGTGCCGTGCTAATAACCACCACTAGGATATATGGTTCTTAACCTAAGAGGGGCCATTACACAGTGCACTGTAAGGACTTGGGTTAAATGAAAATGTATTACTTTGGTTTCTGTTGTAATCACTCAAGTTTTGAGCGAATGACATTAGGAGAAGGAGGTGGAGGAGGAGGCGGGCTGGTAAAAATAGCACCATTAAAAAAACAGCCCTTGCCAGTGTAGGTCAGTTTAGCACCAATGTTTTAGCCTGGCAGTTGCAAAAGAGGCTTCTGGGCCCACAGGGTTTGTCCAGGCTCCAGTTGTGAGGTTGACATGCTTGCAAAAACACACACACACACACACAGTCCAGTAAGCATGCACAGGGTCAAGATGCAGAAAGAGAGTCACTTATTATACACCAGACAGAGACCAAGACACAGATATGCCGAGGCGGGCAAAGAAACATGATGTTTATGGACCAACCTATTACTTCTTTAACAACACCATGCACTCTGCTCAGAGCACGCTCACACATGAGCACACATAGAAACAAACAGAAGTAAAAGAAAGAGTGCCGACTCACTTTTTTCAACGCTAAACTGCTTGTATTACTGCTACAGGACTGGCACACCATACAGTGCACACATCTGCAGGGAACATAAGGGAGAACACAAATAGGCACATGGACATAGACACATTTAAAGTCTGTATTTACAGCGATGGAGAGAGAATGGACAATGAGTAAGAGCCTCGGGAAAAAGCACCGATCTAAACATAGCTGAGCATATAATGCCTTTGTCTAAAAGCAGAGAGGCAATTTCACCACTGAACAGTCCTGTGATGAGAACCAATGAAGTGTTATCCTTAAGAGTTTAATTTCATCACACACACACACACACACACACACACACACACACACACACACACACACAGTGACCACAGTCAGTAAACTGGCTTGACTTACACCTTCTTTGTTGTCAGTAATTGTATGGCAAATGTGTCCCAGCAAAGCTAGAATAAACACTAGCGGGCCGCAGACGGCTCCTGTTTCACATTCAATCCGCAATAAATGCCAGCGCTGCACAGCTGGGATCATACATCTAAAGCCATGACTTTTGTCATGCCACCCAAAAATACAGCAGCAGACTGCTGAGCTCTCAAGCCCCGATCAACACGTATACAGCTTTCTCTAAATCAAATGCTACTTTTTTTATTTTTCTTTCCTGCTGCAGGCTGAGTTTATCTCTGGAGTTCAGAGTTCACTATAGTTTTAGCCAGTATCCTTATCTACTGTACGTCTCCATTGTTTGCTCTACATTTTGTTTCCGGCCGAGTTTCAAGTCTCTCAAGTCCAACTGAAATCACATTTAGTCATCCCTTTTTGTAGTCATAATGTCAATGTGATTTTTTAAAAAGTGCTGTTCAGAGACGTAAAAAGAAGAAAAAAGGTCTTTGAGGAAAAATCAGAAATGCTCCTTGTTGTCTCAGCCGGCTGGAGAGGCGTGTCTGTTTGATTGACAGCAGTGTGCCGATGTTACGCTGTAGGGAAAGAGGGGCAAAGTAAAAAAACTTGCACTGTAGCTTAAAGGTACTGTGCAGACAGCATGTTGTTAGTGGTATTGAAGAGTAAGGACCACACCAGCATCTAGCCAGACAAAAGTGACATTTGTAGGTATGTTTAAATGCTATTTAATGTGCAGCTGAGCAGCCAATCAGCTATCTAGGCTTCAAAATGATGTTAGTGGCGCACTTTTCCCCGGTGAATGTTTGTTTGGAAGCTCGTTCAACCAACTAATGTCCTTTGTTTATAATTCAGATAAGGAGACTAGCAGAAAAGCTAATGTTTATTGGTCAAAATCTGTGGCTCTCGTGTTGTGTAGCAGACCGCTGTCTGACTCAATGTGACCGTCTGCTCTGACTTGGATAGAACGCTGGCATTACTGCTGTATGCAAGATTTGATTGGCTATACTGAAATAAGGTCTGCATCTATGCAGACTAATACCGAACAAATAGCGTGATTCAGTCAAATTAATGCAAAGGAGAACACATTGCAAGTGATTTACAGAGCAAATATGTACGCTGTAGCAGACAAAATACTATTTGATTTTAGTTGGACTTTATTCGAAATTTAACATTTTAAAGCTGCACGAGGTGATTCATATTTTAACCATGCTTGCAGCAGCAGACAGAGGCAGATTTCTTTTTTCTAGCCAGCAGATAGGGCAACTGTCTAGCAGATTTCATCAGCTAGCTAGCTAGATATTTAAGCTAATGTTAGTGCCATAAGTTGGAGATGAGTTGGCTGATTTTGTAATGTTTCCAGCTGACTTATTTTACAGTGACAGCTCTGTAAAAGGGGTCTTACATATTCACTTGATTGCTATATGTGTGATTGTGCTAAAAAACAGAGGCTAAAGCTACATGCCCCAGTTAGCATCCAGTTAATGATCCATGTGCAAGAGATGTGGAAATAGGAAAACAACACTTATTTTATCACAGTGTAGCGCTAGTTAGTCCTCGTGTTGTAAGTGTGATAAAGAGTGCTAGCTGCATGACTCTAGGGATGGCAATGTTGGTCTGTTGGTTGGTCAACCGCGTTGGGATAGATTGTATTATCTCAACTACTGTTGGATGGATTGCCATGACATTTGGCACAATTATCTATGGTGCCCTGACGAAACATCCTAAAAAAATTTGGTGATCACCCAATCATTTCTCTACCATCTTCATTAGGTAAAATTTCAATTTGTCCAATACTTCCCATTAGCATTGCAGTCAGCATGGCTGTAGACTACAAAATGAGATAAGACATTTCCTTTTTTTAAAAATTATTTTTTGGTGTCAAAATGATGTTCAATATATAAAAAGCTCATCATTAGATTGCTTTTCTTCTTCTTTTATGTTCAAGTTCCCTATTGTTTAAGTTTCAAACCGTGGCATCATCTTCCTGTCGGTTTTCAAACCACTCTGCTGTAGGGTGCACACCATCGAAGAGTTAGAGATAACAAACAACCATGAGCTCAAACACACGCAAACACTCAGTGAAAGCAGATGTGGAGAAAACAAACAGCGCAGACCTGCACTGAACATACTGTACATACAAGTTAAAAGACGAGCAGAGTTCGAAGGCAGCTCTTAATCATATATTGATCAATTTATTCATTCTGTCAGGACATGTTTTGCCGTTGTCCCAAAGTCTTACACAAAGAAGTCATTGTGAGATGTCCAATTTGTTTTGACCAGAAAACAGGAAAGAAAGGAAAACCAGTATGTAATCATGAAAACAGACACACATTCAAAGACTGCTCGCCAAGACAGCGAGGACTACATGTCCTACATGTTTGGTTGGTTGGTTTGGTGAGGCCAATTTAATTTGCCAATCACCCATCAGATCTCCCAAAGATTTCCCAAATGTACCACTTGAATCTTTTAAAGTTTTTTCCCTTAAATTTCATTGTACCTGGAGGTAAGGGGAGGAGGGTTGGGGTACACTTAAAATGTACAAAAATAAATGCAAACAGTACTTTCAAGAGAACACTTCCTCCTCAGCTTTTGAGGGGTTCCAAAGCCACGTTGAGTAGAACCAGTTGGATGTACAGTAAATGCTTGCATGCACGTTGACACAGGCACTGATGTTGACTTGGTGTCTCACTTTGTGGGTCCTCAGTCAGGAGACAAGAGCATTCTGGGAACTGTGAGCTCTCTCAAACAAGGCAGTCAACAGGATTCTTTTTTAAAAAATGGTCTGTCCATTCACAAGAATGACTTTTTTGGATGCGCACTTCTTCAAACCAAGGGGAATGTGGCCCAGGGACAAAAAAATGACATCACCAAATCTAATAACAAGACACTCAAGCTCATAATTAGCCTGATTCCGTTTGTATGAAAATGATAAAAGTAACAGTAACAAATTTTTTAACACACAAACAATAGTGGCTTAACTCCAGAACTTTTCCAACATCTTTTTTTTACGATACAATACATTACTCTCAATACAGGCTGACCCTACTGTATGTTCTGTCCAGACTGGCTCAGCAAACCAGTGCTGAGAATTCTGGGTAACGTAATAAAATCCAGAAAAAAACAAACAAAAAACAATCATCAGAAGCCCTCAGTTAGCTTCTGTTAAAAACAAACAAACAATAAACAAAAGCGGTATACAAATTTAAAAAAACAAAACAACAACTCCAAGAACAGCAAAACCAAGTACAAGTAGTATGATCTATAATTAAGGCGAGTTAAAATATTGCAGAACAATTTGGCCCCTGTGTCTCAAAACAGACTGCCACAACAGTCAAAGCTCCCCGACTCTTAATCGCTGCAAGGATCCAGAGAAGGGAAGGAAGGATGGACTGAAATGAGAACAAATAAAAGAAAAAAAGAAAGCAAAATAAACAAAATTAAATTGTTTTATTTGGTTTAGTTTGGTCTCTTCCTCAGGAACGTGTTAAAGGGAACAGTGAGGACCTCCTTTCTCAGAATAATTAGAAAAACAAAAGAAAAAGGACTGAAGATCGGTAATATGATTAACTCGTGTTTGATGGTAATATGATTAACTCGGCGGGGAGGAGGGGCACCAGATCAGAAAATATAAAACTGTTGTTTAGTCAACAACCTGATATGATAGATGACAATGCAGTGCCCTGTGGGAAGAGTGCGTGTCCCCATGAATGTTCTCCTTCCGTTTAAGAGCAGTCGGGCAAAGAAAAAAAAAAGAGGAATGGGCTGGGAAGTCATGTTTCTGAGATACAAAGTGATGCAGACCCTCCTGTTTTTTGACTGGGACTGAAGGTCATTTCAGGCAAAGATCCCCCACAAAGTGTCCCTCCGCTCCCCTGTTTGTTAAAAAGGCTGGGGGTTAGCGGAGTCAACTTGAAGTCCTGGGGTCACCTTATGTGTGAGGGGGTGCCAACAGGCTGTCTGGCTGTTTCTGCGGGTCTGAACGGAGGGCTCAGATCACCCAAAAAGGAGGAGGCGAGGCCGCGTGTTTTCACTAAAGATGTCCACTGTCCTCCTCTGTGAAAGTGGGGGCTGTCATCCTGTTTTCACCCGTCTTATCTGTCACCCTTGCCCCACCTTCTCATCTCGTCCCGACTTTTCAGACCCATTCCTGCATGGAGCGTTTGCAGTACAGTATGTGGCGTGGCGTACCCTTCCTCTTGAACTGCACCACAGTGTAGATCAGCACCAGCAGGCACAGTGCGAGCACGCAGGGGATGACAATGGCGATGGCCTTCACTGTGTTCGCCTCGTTGTCCAGCTCGATCACCACGTCCGAGTTACCGTCATCGGCCGGCGGCCGGGCGGGGTCAATTGGCGTCAGCTCGCAGCCCATGAAGTCCTTAAGGATGGAACGTGGGTAGCCCGGCTCCACCCGGAGGAACTGGTTGTTAAACTTCCAGTACTCCTTACCCTTGTAGAAGTAGGTGAAACCTGAGGGTGGGAAATAAAGGAGAAGCAGAAACCTGTAAGTACGTTGTTATCTGTGGTCTTTGAGAAGATTGAACATGGGACAGTGAAACACAGATTTTCAGCCTGGTGTTAATATACTCTAAAGGTTTCACTGATAGGCATGATGGGACGCTTTGTGATGACACGGTTTACTGAGACAGCGTCTACTGTTAATCACTGCTGCAAGTTAGACCACCGGAGGTCAGCAAAACTTTTCAGTGGGTGTTCAGCTGTTATTCAAAAACAGTAAATAAAATTAGAATCAAGATAAGCCAAAGCGATAACTGGACAACTAGCCTCTCCTCTCAAAATTAACTGGATAAACCAAAGATACTTATGTCAAGTGATGGAAACGTTACCAGCTACATCAAGTGTCTTGTTGGCTAATTATATTAATATCTCAGTCAGTGGTGAAAGAAGTATTTACATTTGATTCTTCAGTAAGTACTAATACCACAGTTTATTGATACTCCATTAAGGTACAAGTAAAAGTCATGCTTTTAAAACAAAACTAGGGAAAAGTGCATAAGTCACATTAGCAAAAATTTACTTAAAGTATAAAAAGTAACAGTGCTTACTATGCAACAGATTGTTCCTTCTGTGTTATATTATTTGAATATTATTTCTTATGCATTAACATATACATTTTAGCAGCATCAGCAGCATTTTGGGAAGTAACTAGTACAAGTTTTCCCTGTGAAATGTAGTGGAGTAGAAGTAATAATTCTTAGAAAATGGAAATATGTTCAAGTACCTTAATATTTTACTTAAGTACAATACTTGAGTAAATGTACTTATCATTACATTACACCACTGAGCTTAGTGTTGGGACCATTTTGGTTTGTTTGGTTGCTAAAACAACAAAAAATACTAAAAATTACTTGATTGACTTTTTCTGTCTTTAAGGGTTTAAGGGAGAGCGTTTTCTTTCTAATTAAAATACGGAACAAACTTTGCCTCTGGACAGCTGCCTTTCCTATCAGCAGAAAAAAACAAGAACAAGAAAAGTGATTGAAGTGAAACTGAAGTGACGATAACCTGCCAGTACAGTGAAACAAGCTCACCTCAAACAATTGTGTCTGATGCTCTGCTTTTGAGCCATTGTTTCTGTTTCAGCTCTATTGTTCAGCTGAGATGTCTGTGACTGCCCCTCGGGACTAATTATATCTGGTCATAAAAGAGAGAACACACCCAACCAGGAGCCAAACCCCACAGCTAATATCACACAACAGCACAACAAATGTCATCGAGATCCAAGCTGCTGTGGCGCTTTTCAAATCACAAGAGTAACGGGAATGTCTGCTGTGCACGTCTCCTTACACAGTGAGTCAGTGTTCATTTTTTGATGATGGGTTATTTCACTTGGGAACACTTGTCCCTCCGTGTTTGTGTCGAGAGCAATGAAAATGGTGACAGAAGCTAAAAACAAATGTCTTGGGTCTTTATTACTTGTTATTACTCTATCAAACACATTGCAGCAAACATTTTGACAATACATTTGCAATACAACATTTATCAAGTTTGAGAAAAGGCATAAAAAAGTTGTGAAATTACTTTTGTTCCCTGTGCCATGATAATAACTTGCCTCCCGCGAGTCACTGTCCCTGAAATGCTTATTGGGAAAGTACTGTATATGCTGTGTAAAATTGAGCATGACAGCATGGATGAATTCTCAAGCCCTCCTCTTCCTCACTGGCTCCCCTTTACACTTTCTTTCTCGCCATTTGTTATTCACGCAGACTCTTCTCTAGGAAAATAGGGCAGGAAATGCTCTAAATTTCCAGTCAGATTGAGATTTTATTATTAGATTATTATTATTTTTGATGGTTAACTGTGTTTTTAATGCCATGCAGACTGTGTGCCTACGCAACTGACATCTTACAACTAATTTATAACTAATTTAAATCACAGAGATCATTTGGGGAAAAGCACTCACTGGCTTTCTTGCAGAGAGCCATTAGCTTAGCCAAATAATTAGCTTAGCATAAAGACTGGAAACAGGGGGAAACAGCTAGCTCGGCTTGGTCCATAGAACATGTCTCTTTTACATTGTGTTTTGTCTAACTCCTTCGGCAGCGCCCTCCATTACTGTAAACAGCATTCTGTGTTACAATTTGTTCATTATAAAGCTTTAGAATTTCTGGTGCGCTTATTTTTTAACTGTGGAGGCTAGCTGTTTCCCCCTGCTTCCAGTCTTTATGCTAAGCTAAGCTAATTGTCTGTCATTACTGTACGCCAAGTAGCTTGTTTCATAAAGAGGCACGGCTAGGTACTCAGAGTAGTAGGCAATGAAACACAAACCAATCTACACACAATAGTCTTCAAACTCTCATTTAGAGTTCAGCTGAGAGCTTGGGAGTTTATTTTTTTTTCTTTCCAACCTGGCGGCAGCTTCTGATACACTTTTCTCCTACATTTAACACAACTGAAGTGTGATTTAGAGACATATTTAGAGATGATATTATATACACTGTGCAAACGTTCCAGCAGGTGTGGAAGAAGCTGCTATAAAGTAAGAATGCGTTAAAAAATAGACATGTTAATGGATTATATTTATGATTTTACAAAACACAAAGAGAGTGAACAGAAGAAAAATCTAAATCAAATCAATATTTTGTGTGACCACCCTTTGCCTTCAAACAGCATGAATTCTTCTAGGTACACATGCACATAGTTTTTGAAGGAACTTGGCAGGTGGGTTGGCCCATCATCTTGGAGAGCTCCCCACAGTCCTTCTGTGGATTTAGGCAGCCTCAGTTACTTCTCTCTTTTATGTAATCCCAGTGAGACTGGATGATGTTGAGATCAGGGCTCTGTGGGGGCCATACCATCACTTCACCTTGTTCTTCTTTATGCTGAAGATAGTTCTTAATAACTTTCGCTGTATGTTTGGGGTAATTGTCATGCTGCAGAATAAATGTGGGGCCAATCAGATGCCTCTCTGATGGTACTGCATGATGGATAAGTATCTGCCTGTACTTCTAAGCATTAAGGAGGCCATTCATTCTCACCAAATCCCCAACTCCGTTTGCAGAAATGCAATTCCAAACTTGCAAGGAACCTCTACCATGCTTTTGTGTTGCCTGCAGACACTCATTCTTGTACCGTTCTCCAGTGCTTTGGCAAAAAAATAAAAAATAACCTGCCTTCTGCTCCAGCCAGTGTCTACAGTGCTCAATGTTACCTGTTTCTTTATGCATCTTCAGAAGACAGCACATCTGGAAACTTGTGTCTGCCTTGAAATGTCTGCCTGACAGAGACCTTGCTGATGCAGTTTAACTACCTTGTGTCTTGTTGCTGTATTCAGTCTTGACTTGGTGAATGACTTTTGACAGTAGACTGTCTTCAGCGACCTCACCTCAGTTAGTGATTGTGTTTCAACCTATGTATTGAATTGTTGAAAAACAGCCGCTATTTGGTGTAATTGTTTAATCATACAGATGTCGATATGCCTCCAAAATCCCTGACTTTGTGCGCGTGTAAGTAGAAGAACTGACACTGATTTTAAGACAAAAGTGGTCACACCAAATACTGATTTGATTTAGATTTTTCTTGTGTTCACTCACTTTGCATTTTGTTAATTGGAAAATATAATCTATTAACATGTCTATTTTTGAAAGCATTCTTACTTTCCAGCATTTTTTCCACACCTGCCTAAAACCTTTGCTCAATACTGAAGACATTATTAAGAGAGGGAGAGAGAGGGGAAGAAGGACGAAAGGTGAGACAGCCTGGGCTATTGTGGGTTACAGCCAGGTCAATGTCACCCTGGGGTGCCTACTCTGAAACGTGTTACCTCACATACAACCATCGGCGGCAGCAGCACAATCTATTATAGCTGGTTATCTGGGTCAATGTTATGAGTGTGCCACTTGACACACTGTCTCTGCAAACAGGACGCCCGCCAAATAAATGCTAGCCGACGCATATACGAGTGGAAACACGTGGGTAGCACGCAAACACCCATCATCCCCTTGGACATCAATCCACCCTTCATGCTCCGATAGATGCCCGCTCCACCTGGACTCGCCGGGCAGACACGCCTGGCTACAGATCTGGCAACAGATCCAAGGCACAGATGGCCAGATCGTTCAGCACCACCTGCCCTGCTTTTTCCACCCCAGGCCCAAACCCGCATAATACATCCAATGGGAAAAGTGTTTTCCCTCTTCACACTACCTGACTGGCCAATGGGTGAGCTCTTTGAGAGTTATAAATCCCGCCTCCCCACCCTTGGCGAGGGCCAACTGGCTTAAACCGGAATAAGTGCCCAGCGGTGGTCTTGTCCTTTCTGTTTTCCACAATCCTGCTCCAACTGGGTCTTGTGGCACACTGAGCGGGATGGACTGATTATAGAACATTCTGCTTTTGAAACAATAAAAAAAAAGAGGCATTTCTGGATAAACCGACCTCTTTTCATCCTTCATTTGCTATACTCAAACGCTCTCTATCAGCCTATTTTCCCTGATGTGCAAGTATGGAAGCGTGCCACTCACTGAGACTGAGCGTAATAACTGGGGCAAATTTCAGTCAATGCTACCCTAGTTTACCTCCCACACAGCGTGTGCTGGTGACCAGCTGAAATCAATGCTGCCTGGCACATTAACCGCACTGTTATTGCCAAATCAGAGTATCGGGCAGGACAAAACGTACCGTTGGCTTTGTCGACAAAGGCTCCCTGTGGCGAATCAGGCACACCTCTCCACACTGTGATGGGCTTGGGATAGCCAGGGTCCATGGTTCTCATTTCTTCATTGTAGCGCCAGTACCTAAACAGGAACAAATGATGAGCCGCAGGAAGACAAAGCAAGTTCTGTATGTCTATGAATGCAGGAGTAAATAGGTCGAATTGTGAACAGACTGGTATTTTATGCTCATATCGTGTATCTTAACACCACATATGAGTATAAATTTGCCTCTGCTGCTTCGACTATCACCATTCTTTCTCTTGCAAGTCCCCCAACATTATCGGAGTACAAAACTTCAAGCCACCAGACAAGTTAGACAGCGACTATACAGTGAGGAAAATAAGTATTTGAACACCCTGCTATTTTGCAAGTTCTCCCACTTAGAAATCATGGAGGGGTCTGAAATTGTCATCGTAGGTGCATGTCCACTGTGAGAGACATAATCTAAAAAAAGAAAATCCATAAATCACAATGTATGATTTTTTATGATGATACTGCTGCAAATAAGTATTTGAACACCTGTCTATCAGCTAGAATTCTGACTCTCAAAGACCTGTTAGTCTGCCTTCAAAATGTCCACCTCCACTCCATTTATTATCCTGAATTAGATGCACCTGTTTGAGGTCGTTGGGTGTCAACACCCAACTTTTCCAGACCTGTAAAATAGGATTTTTACTTTACAGGATTTCCATGACCAAGGAATATCTTTTGGGAGAATGGTGTTCCATCCCTCCACTAGAGTTCCTCTGACTTCTTTGTCGAGCAGCACTGAAGCTGTTCTGGATGCTTGTTTTCCTTTAATTTGTCACTGGTTTTTGTATCGGCTGACTAAAATTGGGGTTTATGGGTTCGATTCCCACTGTGACACATCCACCAATGTGTCTCTGAGCAAGACACTTAACCCCTAGTTGCTCCAGAGGCGTGCAACCTCTGATATATATAGCAAGTGTAAGTCTAGATGATGTAAGTTTAGATAAAAGCGCTAAATTAGTAAATGTATTGTAAAATTAAAACTGCAAAACCTCATTGGTCAAATTGTGACCTGCCAAGGAACTGCTTTTAGCTAGCTGTCGTACAATACACGAAATGGTAACATAAATGTTTAAAATCATCAATGACCCATACAAATAAATGAAATATATACACAAGTGCTTGTATCTGCAGTTCTGTCACAAGTCAAATGGGAAAGAGCATTTTTTTTGGTATTTTTTAGATAGTGGTAACTGGCAGCTGCCTCATTTCTTAATAATTGAAGTTTTGAAGGTTCCTTATGGTTCCGTGTTGTTTAACAGTGTTGTGCCCACCTGTCCCCTTTAAAGAAGTAGGTCTTGGCCACATCCTCCCACCACACAGCGGTCTCGATGCTCTGGGCCGGCATGCCATGGCCAAACTGGGTGATGTCCTTGGGGTATCCAGCCTGCAACACCGTGTCCTTAAAAACCCAGAACTGCTTCCCTGCACATCATGAAGGAGAGGGAAAAATAAATTAGAAGAAGGACAAGTAACAGCTGGGATTACCCTCCAGGAACACCACATGAGAAGGGCAGATTTACAAGGACAGATACAAGCCTTCTAACAAATGGCGGGCAATAACCTGTTGCCTTGTATTACTGTCTTTGATGTTGATGTTTCGCTAATTTAAAACAGACACAGACATGGTGACACATTCTCCTTGCCCTTGCTTATAGGTACTCTGGGAACTTTTTGGTGCTGGAGCCTGAGCCTGTAACTGCTCAGCTAAGAAAATAAAGAAACTGACGACCCTTGTGGGAAAATTGGCGACAAAAGAGTCACATTAAAACGATTTTTTAAAGTTTCCTAGCCCCAAGGAGCCAAGCAAATACCTGTGATATGTTGAGAAATTAAAAAACATGTATTGTTGTCGTTTTCTCAGTTTACCGCTAACCCTCCATCCTTCCTTCCTGTGGAGTAATTAGGTTAAACAGCACATTTTTGACACAGTGTGACCCCAGGAAGTGCTTTTCTTCGTCACTGGTGGAGGTGATGGTGTAGCAGGAGGAAGTGAGGAGAGGGTGGGTAGGTGGGTGGAAGAGTAGTGTGTTAGAAGAGAGAAAGAAAGAGGTGGAATGACGAAGGTGGAGAGGAAAAACAAAGCTTATCATTCTTTACTGACTCATGTACAAACATGGCCTTCCCTTTTTTTCCGACAATTTCATTTGATTAATAACTGCAATGTGGCCTCAGGCTGTCAACACCCAACATTCCATGCAGGGGGGACAATATTCATCACAAACATCATGAACATGATAATATCTGTGAAATAGAAATACTTCTACACAGTCTTTCGATAATCTGACAAAAATAAATGTGTCTCTCTTTGGAATCTAAACCCCTCAGGTAGAAAAGTTTTGTTGATGGAAAGATGGAAAGTACGCTGGAAAAACATGAAAGTGAAAACAAGTTTGTCTAACTTTTGCAGATAGAGGAAACTAGCAGAGGATAAATATACAATATGCAACACACTTCCGTAACCAACTTTTTTAAGGAATCAGGTTTATTTTGACTTTTTTGTCTACTTAAATGGTAGATTAACCCAGACGTTTTTATGTTTCTGGGCAGATTCGTACTCCTATCTGGTGTCTGATTAATCACCAGGGACTCTGACAGACCATGATGAACTTTTGCAAGGTCAGCTTTAAGATGACCTGTGCACTTTTCTTTAACAAATACAGGAAAGGGGGCGTAAAATAGAGCAGACATGATCCCAGCAACATTTGCACTTATTCTCTTGCTTTAAAAAGGCCACGCATCTGACATTTAACTTTAACGAAGTATTTACACTATATGTCTGAGGTGAAGGAGGGAGATTTATAGATATAAAGGAGGAAGGAACAGTAGGAGTGTTGGCTAAATGTAGTGACCTCTTTTTGGAAAGGAAATTCCTGTCATTTCACATCTTTCTCTTACAGTGCTCCACTCATTCTGGGTCACACTTCCTCTGGCTCTGACACACACACAGACACACACCACACCCTGAGATTAATAGAGTCCCCACATCCACAAAAAGAATGAGTTTTGATTCACAAAACAACAACAACAACAACAAAAACTATCCCTTCTCTCTCTCTATGCTACATAAAATGGGATTCTCCTCACTTCCCTTAAAATTGGAGTCGACTTGCATAGCCTTCTACATAAAAGTCTGGCTTCATCTTCAGAGCTACGAGGGCTGCTTTGATGTAGTGGCGGCTCCAGCATCTGCTGCAGTGTAACAACTAATCCCCCGCTTGCCCTCGACAGTGTATAAAGTGAGTTATAAAGGATTTGTTCCAAAAAGAGACCCCTCCTCTGTACAAAGGCCACACACATAAACACATACAGTACAGTCAAATGAAGCACACATGTGCATATGTGTACTGAAATTGTTTTGCATAATCATACGCACCCACAGCAAAGTTCCCTACGTGACCCTGAGGTAAAATTGCTTGACTTTTCCAAGATTTTGTGTATGACCTAAATCTTTGTTCCTTACTTGTAAATGTTTTTTTATTAAAATTAGAGTAAAATAGATGATAAAGCAATGCTTTAGGGAGTGGCTATCTTGTGACTGACAAGTCACTACCATGGTGACCTGTCAGTTAGGCTGGAGGCGACTTGTATCCACTGCTCTGTGGAAATTTAACTAGCTCAGTTGAAAAAACGTATTAGGAGTTGGCAGTTCATGTTTTCCGGTAAGTACATTTTGTCTTAAGCCTGTTTTTGGCAAGACAAAATTAGCATCCAGGTAAAAATCACAGTTAACGTGTAACATGGATGCACCTTGTTAACCAAGCTAGCTAGCAGCAGCTCTGGCCTGCTCTTTATTTGGTTTGGGGAAAGTTGATACTCCAACAACTACGGTATAGCTAAACTACATGGTATTACATTTGCCAAACTCACTTATTTAACGTTTCAGCATTAGCATTAGTTGACACTTACTAGCTTCAGCTGATAAAATCTGCTAGTGTCAGTCGTCTTTTCTGCCTCAAAATTCACAGTCCTCCGAAGAAGCCGGTTTATGTTTATCTCTGTATGAAGTCAGAGACCCATTGTTTTGTGAATATTCCGAGTGGTAAATCTGTCACCGTTATCATTGTAATGGCCAAAATGAAAAGCTTGACAAATGTACAACAGTTACTAAGGGGGATGTGAGAAACTTGTGACAAATTATGTAAAGCTGACACAAACTTCAAACATATCTTTGGCATTTCTCTACTGAGAGTTCCATCTCGTAATGTACACGCCAACACTGACATATCTGCAATAAGCTAATGCCGGGAGACATATTGGCCTGGCCGATTTATGGGTCTAGCTTTAATCTAAAATAACACACTCTCAGACATGATCTGGATGTCTGCATGAGGTAAATGAAGCAAGCAGCTCTGTCGATCCTCTGACATAAAAAGCACCAATCAAGCTCTGATTGGATCCTACCTCCTGCCAGGAAAATGCATGTTGCCGTATAGATCTTGCTGGATGTGTAGGTTGCCTTTGTGTAACCCTGGTACTGCCAAAATTGCGTTTGATTCATTCAATATTGAATTTATAATGCAACCTCTTACCTTGTGATTTAGGCTAATCAAATACTGTAGTTATATTTGCACATATACCGCTTTTAAGTGAAATTCTTCATGCTTCATGCATGCTTTCTACTGTTGCATTTCATTTTCACATGATGAGCTAGATACACATTCTTGACTCGCATATCCAGTGTCTCAGAAGAATGGAAACAGGGAAATACGGACTCAAAATTGGCACAAAGCTGCAGTTTAGGATAAAGAACACATGCTGAATTAATCTCTAATGTATACCAGTGGTGTCTGCTTACTGACCTGCTCTGTGACGCATTAACAGCACTAAGCTAATCAGGGTCTCAGGCATGACTTCAGTGCAAGCTCACTCTGCCGAAGGAGGCCTTGAGCAAGCCCCTGAACCCCTAACTGCTCGGGGCGCCGCACTGAGTGGCAGCCCCCTCACTCTGACATCTGTCCATGTGTTGCTATGGGTCATGTGTGTGTATTTCGGACCTGTGTGTAAATACTAACAATAATAACAGAGTGAAAACATTGAATTTCCCCTTGCGGGATTAATAAAGTATATATTCTTCTTCTTCAGACAAGGCGCTGTTAGAGGATATTCAAAATGGCTTGTTAGACAAGGACCTGGAGCGCGGCATTTTGATTTCTTTTTTTTAACCTTAATTTAACCAGGGGAAAAGACTCAATGAGATAAAATCTCAAGAAAGGGAGCAGGACAGCAAGTCTGACAGTACAAACATAAAACGACAATACAAAATACAATCAAAACATTTACCCTTTTACCTATATACAAATCCAACAGTCGCAACCCACTATCAAACCAGTACATTAAAACTCCAATGAGCTCTGGAATACATCAATGTAATGCCTGCTTATTCAAATATAGTTACATTCATCTCTGTAATCAACAGAGGTTTTGACAGACAGAATAAGGCCTTCTGGGGAATCAGCTGTGCGTGTTCAAATGAAAAAGTTCTGTTAGCATGAATTTTCTAAATTTGGGTGCAATCTCGTTGCTACCCACTTTGCCCAGGAAAGAGGGCAGGGTGGCCCTGAAATCAAACTTCCAGAGTATGTGGTGCACACGGGACCAGTAGTCTGCATTTCCAGGAATTGTTTGGTGCTGAAAATAGAAATTGGTTTGAGTGAAACTTGTAGTTTTATCTCAGCAGACTTTCATTAAGTCCTCATGTCTCCGTTCATACCCCCACCCCCCCTGTCTGTCTCTCTCTCTTCCTCTCTGGAGTCTATGCAAATGTAAGTTTACAGGACTGCTATATTTGTTTGCTGTTTCTTTTAAGTGGCTTCTCAGCTTCAGACATAATTAGCTTTAAATCTCAGTGTTTTGGGGCCAGCTTAGTCTAGATTTGAATATGTAGACAAATCTCTTCAGAAAGGTAAAACATCTAAATCAGGGATCACCAAAGACTGACAGCAAGTATTGAATCTCATTGGCACATGCCGTGATAGTGACATGTATAATGCATACTAATTATGTTTAGCTACAGTTGAAGATTTAAACAAAAACATATACTACCCCCCGCAACCCTGTACGCAGGATAAGCGGTTGACGATGGATGGATGGACATATACTACCAGCTGGGGATGAACAATTAACTGAAATCTTATCGAAATTATCAAATCACAGGAGGCGCCATACTTTTTAAAGGCGATATGTGTGACAAAATAACATTTTAAATTAAATACTGCAGAGATGTCCTTGCCTGGACATCATATATAATATGTTTTTCAATGAAAATGAGAATAATTAAATTAAAAATCACAACAACAATCGTATCACAACTGCAATATCAATCAAAATTAATCGCGGGATATTTTTTCAAAATCGTAAATAAAAAACTCTGTTTTTTTATATACAGACATATAAAACATGCATAACGTTTATACAAAAAGACAACATGACACAGAACATATCTAGGAAGTTCAAGTGGATGAGTAACACACACAATAGACAACATGAGACGCAAAATATGAACCAGGATACAAAAGACACAATATCTGGACTGGATGAAGATGAATGAAAGCTAATGGAGAAGAGCTTTACACAGCAGCGTGGTGACAACAGTGATGATGGTGGTGAAGAACATGAGCTTACCTTTGAAGAAGACAAACTTGCCCTCGCTGTTCTCGTAAACAGCATCTATCTTGGGCGGCAGGCCGCGCCAGAAAACACTGATGAGCATGGGGTACCCGGGCATTACTGAGTTATCTCTCACCCGCCAAAACCAGTGGTCCTGAAAGGGAGCGGAGGACAGTGTTAGGAAACAGAAAAAAAAGCTTGATTAAGGTCAAACACATCTTCTGTGGCCCTGGAGAGAGTTGTCCAAAAAGATTTTCCTTAAGGAGGTGGGTAGGGTCAAATTAAATTTCCTGTCTTGACCCATAATAGCGGCTTCAATTTTAATGTGTCTCTTGTGAGTTACCTAACTTTATTCAAATGCAAATCACTGCAGTAGCTCTTTCACCAAATGTATGTGGTTCAAATGCAAACCAAAGGTGGTCAAAGGGCTACTTAGTCCTCATCCTTGAAGTCTCTTGTAAAACCAACTGACCAACTATGACTGCGGTTCTCAACTTCTTTAGTTGGAATGGGTTGCTTACCTAAGCTTTTGTGGTTGGGACAGATCACAAACAGGGCTAGTATGTGGTGTGCGTATTTCTTCAAGTAACGGGGGCAAAGTGATAGTGAGGAGCTTTATGTGAAGCCAAGAGTCTTTGATTTCTGATGGTCGTGAGCGCGGCCAAGTGGAAGGTGTGTCTTCTTGATGTTGGATGAAACTTGATGACAGAGGGAGCTGAGGGGAGACCCAGCTGTGAAAGCCATTAGGACTCAGCGAGATGTCCCACCCTTTGGCAATGAACGGCCAATTGCGTCTCCTGAACGCGTTGAGCGCTCAGGCCAAAAGGCCTGACCTCATAGCGACAGAGAGAGAGGAGGCGCCCCACATCATCACACCCTGCCTCATTCACAGTGAAAGCTAAATAAACAGCCCATTTATCAAACACTCTCTCCACTGCTCTCCTTCTCTCTCTATGTCTAATCCAATTGTTTCTCTGGGATTCTCATCTCTCCCTGGACTCTTCCTCCTCTGTCTTTTCATTTCCCCCTTCTTTCATTCCAATTCCTCCTCTCTTCCTCTCCCTCTCTAGCAATATATCTACTGCCTCCATAGATTTCAAATGTTCAGCATTTTCTTCTGTACACGGCCCGGCCCAATAATTGAAAACAGATCAAACTGTGAAATCTGACCCATTTGAATCTTTCTGACTTTATATAAAGTCAAACCGTTCTGTCTCCAGCCCTACCATCCCACTCCCACTCTGAAAATAAAGCTCAGGCGAGCAAACTTTTCAGAAAATTTCAGCCGACAATTATGGGAATGTCTAGAATAATAACAACAAGTTTAGTCTTAGCAGAAGTTGGAAATATTAAACTTCAAATTGTTCATGTTTCTGCTTTGAGAGAAAGGGCAGGGTTTGTCAGAATACATACCCGCTCTTTACAGGAATATAAATTCTGGACTGCGTGACGGAATTAACAAACTGTCTCTACGGATTTTTTTTCAGTATTGAGGAAAGTTCGTGAAGCGGAACGCAAACTGCAGAAATTGCCCTGCCAACGACTCTACTGAGAGATATATGAGCTCAAAGTTGATATTGAACAACACATCACTGTACCACAGGATATTTCTGGCCTGCTGAGTTTACACAACAACATTTAGCTTCAAAACAGATAAATGATGGTGACCGCTTTGTATTTAATTAATACTCAAATTAACAAATGTACTGTAAGTCTGTCGTGAGAGAGGTCAGGGGTCCCCTGGGTAATAGCCTGTGTTTGAAATGACTGTTAACATGTCTTGTTGGGAAGTCAATCAAACGACTGAAAGAAACTCCAAATGACTACAAAAAGACACAAAACAACATCATAAAGATGAAAGCTGACTACAAAGAGACACAATACAACTACAAAGAGACAAAACCACAAAAAGAAGCAAGCCTACTCTAAAGAGTAACAAAACAACTACAAAGACACATTTCGACTATAAAGAGACAAAAATGACTACAGAGAGATGCATAATCACTACAAAGGTATCTTGCTCCTGTTTAGGAGGAGTGTGGGTCTTGTTTGTGCCTAGGAGTCCATGATAAAGATAATATAAGATAAAAATTAGTTTGCACTTTTTAGTCATACAGTATGACCTGTAGAAGTACTTTAGGTGAGCTATACCAGTATACAGTTTTATCCACTGCACAATGATTTTGAAATAGCGAGGGACAAAGAAGAAAGTGTCCAAAGTATGGGCTTATTTCAAGCTAAAAGAAAATAACTTTTAGAAAATAAAACAGTCTGGCCTACTGCAACAGCATGACGGCACCCGGTCTAGCATCAAGTCCACAGAGCAGACCACAGACAAGGTAACAGTAACAGCAACTTATGTATACACGTGCATTTGTTGTTCTCCACCTGTTTGTAACGTCACAGTCAGAGTTAACTTACACATCTGATCCCGTTACTGGGGGAAGGGCAAATAATCTGTAGAAGCTTTGAGTACTAAAATCATTGTTAGCTGCAGCCCTAGTCTTAAGTACCCTCACATAAACCTTCCCAGTTACATTATCATCACTTTCCCACCTTGTTTTAGTAAAGTAAAATGATCAACAAGTGGCTCTCACAAAGAATTACATTTCAATATGCAGACAAAGAGCCAACTGAGGAATAAAAATATTTTTTGCTAAGAGAACAAGACACTTTTGTGTCTCATTACAAGTAACCTGAGCGGATCTCAAGTTATCACATTATTAATCATATGAATGTTCAGATGTAATTTTAATGTTGGGAATTAACATGTGAAACAAACAATAATTTTATTTATACATAATATATAAATAGGAATAATAATAACAACATTTGCAGAAATGGGAAAAAAAGAACAAACAAACAAGAGCAGGAAGGCCTGCTTATGCCCAACTCTAAGAATTGCACTAAACCTAAACCTTTGTTTGTTGCCGACATACAGGTCAGCCGTGGGTGCATCTGCTGCTGCCGTGTGTGGGTTTCTGTGTGCATGAACGTGAGGTGAGAATATGGTAGGCCGTGGTGTTAGGATGACCGTGTTGCTGACCTCTCACTCGGTTAATGTGACAGACACGCACACTTGCTTGGCTTGACTGGGAGCAGAATGCAGCTGTAAATAATTCAGATGGATGAGGATTAGGGTTGAAGCCGGAGATCCCAGTATCTAGCAGGATTTCTTGCCAAAATTGACTTTCCACTGAACTGCAGAAGACTGGCTTTTCTTTTAGCATTTGAGCAGTTGCGTACATATGTGTTTCCTCATGTGTTGAAAGCTACCTCATACACTGGAACAAAACTTCTCCAAACTACATTAACATTACTTAAACTGTTTTAAATAATTAAGTATGACCTTGAAATACAGTCATTACAGCAATAAGAACTGGTTTCAACTTTTCAACCCTTTCAACCTACAGCTGTTTCTTTCCACTACTGTTCATTCTAATAAGGCAGCTTTAGAGTTAATACGTGTGGCAAAATGTTCTAATCCAACGTCAACAAAGCAGACTGCAGGTGGTTAGAGGATAATTTTGGTACTCTCACAAATTTTGCTGTGGAAATGATTTGCAGTAGATGGCTTCTGCCCGAGTATGTTGCAGCTACTACGTACTTGGGCATTTCTTCAGGGCCATTGAACTCTTCAAAATTACGCCCACAAAAAGTGCTTCTTTTTGCCACTGACAGGCTTAGACTGTTATATCAGGTGTCTGACAACATCATGGAAATGATGACTTTTTAATACAAAATTTAAGTCTCACTCATGGAAAGTTCTCGTTCTGAAATCTCATGAGAGCAAGTAATTGCAAGAAGACGATAAAAGACGATAGACGGTAGAAACGTACGTGAGTTGGAGTGAGGGGTTTGTTGTGCTGGAGTAACGTTAGGATATAAAGTCTTGCTAGCAGTTTCTCTATGGACAACAAACTCCTCTCCATTGTTTCCATCTGCGTTTCCATTCTGAGACACTTGTTGCATTTCTGTAATTTGTCACCCATCTGTATTCCTGGTAGCTGTGTCCACCACAAAGGGGATAAACGCTGCATGCACTATGTATTGTCTCCGCCACCCTCATTTTACACTTCAAGGGGAAAGCAAGTATTAGTAGTAAATAGTACGACATTATGCTACATGCTCTTTCTGGGAGTTAGATGAGAAAATTGATACCACTCTTATGTCTGTACGGTAAATGTGAAGCTAGGGCCAGGAGATGGCTAGCTAAGCTTAGCATAAAGGCTCGAAGCATGGAGTTAGAGCTAGCCTGGTTTTACATTTATTTTAGTGTACAGATTAAACATCCAATAAATACTGTGTTAATTAGTCAAATGTAAAGTGCCTGTAAGTGGACTTTGTTACTTTTTGACAGAGCCAGGCAAGCTGTTTCCCTATGCTCCCAGTCTTTATGCTAAGCTAAGCTAAATGTCTCCTGGCTCTAGCTTCATTTTAATGATGAGCTACTGTTCTAGCTCTTTGTGTTTATATCACTTTCTATCACTATTTCAGAATCTTATAACATCTGAAAAAGACTCATCATCTAAATTGAGGACCTTGATACTGTAATTATCTATTTTTAAAGCTATATTTGACTTCTTTAAAAGTCTTAAACTGGTCAAAAAGTGGCATTTAAAGGTCTTCTTCTGAGTCCACTCAGAAATCCTATTGCAGGACTTTTTCCTACCAGTAAGAGTAGACAGCTCACTGCCTACTTGGCCACAGTGTTCTCATTAATGGATTGTCGATCAGTGGCCAAGTGGCCAATTCTGAACAGCAAGGCACACTCTGGCATCCCAGAATCCCCTGCTCTAAATCTGTCCACATCAAGGAAGGAAGATCTCTCAGGGACTTGCAAGACTTGTCAGTGTACTTAGGACTAGTGGTGAGGAGGAGCAAGGAGGAGGGACACAGGAGGGTGGCAGTTTCCTTTATAATAGACTGTCTCAGGATGAGAGCTGGGCGATGGACTGCTGACGGAAGTGTCTCTTTCTCTATTATACCTGACTATAGGCAGTGCGAGAGGCTCTGATTGCATCTATGCAATGGTCTACAGCTACTACGAAGGTTTGAACAGGCAAACCTTGCATTACTAATATGATACTATGATATGAGAGCAGAGGTAAACTCGAAAAAATGAAGCATTCAGACATTCAACAATGGATACAA